AGTTTGATGGGTGAGGCTGACAGATAAAATTATTTCAAGGTGAGACATGAAGGGGACAATAGTGCCATAATGAATTAAATAAATAAATTATTAAATAATTCATTAAAATGGTCAATAATTAATTAAATGTGTCAATAATTAATTAAATGTGTCGTATATATTTATTAAATTAATTATTTCCAATTTTAATTAATTATTGCCACATTTAATTAATGATTTAATGGTGTATTTAATTAATTCATTATGTCAGTCCTGGCGTTCCATACTTGTGCAGACGTATACTGCGAGAAAAGTACTGAAACACGACTAATTTGCATGAGCATGTACATGTCCTCCATCTGGCTGTGTATGCTAGGCTATCACCAGCTTCTGCAGCTCCATCAACAAGCATTTGGGCGCACTCTGAGGAGGGTGCATTTGCTCGCAGATGAAAGAGGGTGTTGTTAAAACAGCGCTATTATTATTATTTTTTCTGTTGACTAGTTGTATTAGCTCCATCATTATTAGCAAACTTACTCATGGGCAAATAGATAAATCGCCCTTGTAAAAACTTTCAACGATAGGCTCGATATATTCGTCCAAACGCCCAACCCTAACACACACACACACACACACACACACACACACACACACACACACACACACACACACACACACACACACACACACAAACTAGAAGGTTCTTTCTTCTTGCTCTGACTTTGTAAAATCTATGTTTCCTACTGGATACACTTCATCTGAGCCACAGGAGTGGGAGAAGTGGAAGTGGGTTTATTTAAGCCCAGACACCCCACCACAAACATCCTTCCTGCCAGCTTCGGTGGGGGGTTTTAAAAAGTGCATGCTCATACATACACACAGAGGCACTTCAAGAGTTACATGCAGGGTCAAAACCATCAACAGTTGTTCACATGTAAAATATGCAAGATTGTTGCCCCCACTCCCTCACACCACCCCCAAAGAGGTTTTAACGGAGTTGGGAAAACTGGGAGAAAAATAAGTATACCTGAAAACTGGAAATCATGCCTTTGACTTCCAGCAGTCACTGTCAACACACATTGTCACACTCAACCCACTCCCAGGACCACTGCTCTAACGCAGTTTGTCTTTTTGTTGTTACCAGTTTTGTTAATTAGGAAGCACAATGGGCAGTCAGTAAATAAGAAGAAAATGGATGTGTAGTGTATAAAAAGTGTCTGATCTTATGAGAATGTTCTCAAATGCTGCAGATCCAAGCATTCTTCTTTACTTTGGGCTATTTTAAGAACCAATGTAACCCAGCCATAAATTACATATTGTTATAATTACACAAAATGTGTTCCTTATACCTGACTGTTAGGACCTCCAAGCCTGTAGTTATATTCATTATTAGTTGGAGCCCCTCCTCATTGTTCTTCTTCTTCTTTGGTGCAACCCTATAAATACAGTGTACCCCTTTGGCCTCTCCCCTTTTCTACAATTCCCCTGTGGGAGAGGTGGGTGTCATTGCTTTCCAGACACTGTATAACACACATATAATGTATATTTATCCACCCTGATGCTTCTGATTGTTATTTTAGTTCAATTATTACCATCATTGTGCTTGTTTTTGTGAGATGCTATAAATGTCTAGTATGTGTGTGTCACAAATGTGTTTTAGGCGCCATTAACGCTAGCATGATATATAATTATAATATAATTCTGGCTAGCTTGGAAGTTGTGATGGGTTGAGCTAACCCTCTCCCCCACTGTTTGTATTTGGTCGTAGGAGCTGGAGCGAGCAAGTTATTTACTCGGAGGTCTTTCTTTCTTTTACCTTTCTTTGTCAGGTATGTCGGATTTTGTGTTGGTGTTTTTTTTTTATTTTATGTCAAATATGTCCCATGTAAGTTCGTACTTTATGTTTAATGTAAAAATAAATGCAGCCCCTTTTCTACAATTCCCCTGTGGGAGAGGAGCTTTCTTTCTTTTACCTTTCTTTGTCAGACACAACGCAGAAACACACGGGTTACACTAACATCTTGTAAGACAGTCTCTGTGATATTATCCTCAGAATATGTTAGATGAAAGAGATCCAAAAGAGGGATACAACTCAAACACATGCACCTATTACAAGTCCTACAGTGAGTTTCAGTATCAAACCAATGAAACCAACAAAAATCAGCTTCTCACTCTCTTTTAATTTTTATGGAATAATGTTTTGTCTTCACTCTCTGCTCCCCACATGTTTAAAACAAAGAAAACTTCACATACACTACTGTGCAATAGTCTTGAGCTCCCCCTGATTTCTTTATATTTTGCCTACAATGAGCCTGACTTTAGTCATCTGTAGTCAAGTGGTCTGAAAAGCACTAAACCGCTTAACACTGACCTATGAATCATTCAAGCATTTTAAAAAAGCACTGAACTTATGAGATAAATCACTATTGGGTCTACACAAAACAGGCAACCTAAGACAGAACCCATTTTAAATTCTATCTTTAGTCACTTTGTTACTAGCAACCTGTTAAAAAAAAACATACAATGTATGTAATACATGTGTGTAATGTATCCTATTTCTTTGGCTGAATCTACAAAAAAGGGGTTGGCAGGCATAAAATAGTATTCCTGCACCAACAAAGCATGTTTCAGCATGGTGTGCAGTGCATCCTCAAAAAATAAGAAGTGGTAGGCATGAAAAAAAATCCAACTGTAGTAGTCGAGGAGTATATGACTCATGAGAGGGGGGGAAATACAACAAGACCTGACACAGTACCTGAGAGATGCATCTGGACCTTCAGTTTACAACCTGGGTTATAATAAAACTGTAAACTGTGCAAACAGTTTTTACTCACTTGGAGTTTAGGTGGGTTACACAAAGTTGGGATGCACAGTCAGCCAAGAGTAGATGTCATTAGATATGTTATCAAGCAGACACAGGAGCTAAGGACATTTAGTGATGGGGACAGGATTGGCAGTAAAACAGGTATCAGCCACCAAAAATAATAAATCTAATATTTTCTATTTATTCTATTTTTTATATGATATTCGTTTGTTTCAGACAGTTGTTCCAACAAGGAACTTAAACTCCTGCACTCTTAGCAAACACGGCTAAATTTTTTGATTTATAAAAAACACTAGAGCTGTACTTCTTCTGCTTCCTCAGTAGGTTGGTAAGTTTGTGTTACTGTGTCACTAAGGTGCTAGTTTTTGTTATTTCAGTAAGTATCCTGTGCCAGTACCCTCACTTCTTGTACTCTTGTTGAAACTACAGCTACATTTTTTAGCTTATTCTTTCTCATCCTTGTTGACTGGTGCCACACAAACAATGCTCCTCTGAAGGCTTTTGAATCTAAAATTTAAGAGAAGGTGAACTACAACTTTACTTTTACACTTGAATATATTATTTATTTTATCACTCCATTCCATCACTTTAAGCGTGAGCCTGGAAGCTGAAATAGACAAGGGACAGTGGAGATTTGGGATTTCACGAGTGTGCAGTTAGAGAAGAGGTGAAAGCACTGCCATGGCTTTATTGTCTTTAAGAATTCAAACATAGGTCAAACTTGTGATATTTGTTACTGTCTTTAAAAAAACAAAACAAAAAAACACTGTCACATTTCCAAGTGTGATCACCTTTCATACAATTAACCCAAATGTGTGTGATAACCTGTGTGCATGCATGTGTGTACCTCTCTTGCAGTTCCTGGTCACTTAAATGTAGTTGTTCCTTTAGAGTCTGGTATCTGTCCCACCTCAGCAGCCTGGTCCCATCATACAGATCTATCTCCCTGTCATGGAGTAACCTGGGGCAAGAAAATAAAATCTGAGAAATGAGCTGAGTGGTGTGTGTTTGTTTGTTATTTTACAGCACCGTCTTCCTTTATTAAGAAACTGAAACAATAAGAAATACATTAAAGCAGAACCTTAGCTGCTGTGGAGCGTTCTGAAAGGAGAACACAGAGTACAGATGGCACAGATAACAAAAAACCCAATATCAACAGAGCATTTGGAAAATATCACAGCAGCTACATCCAGGAAATGAGCCAAAGCACCTGGATAGTACAGCCAAGGTTCCCAGGTTGACTCTGTGTATGCCGTCGAGAAGCAGCAGCTTGCCCTCCATGGCAGCAGTGACCAGTGGAGATGGCCTCCATGCTGTGTCCCCATTTGGGAGCGTGTACCTCTGTTGGAGAAGGTCCCTGACTGTCATGTCCTGGGAATCAAATAAAATGGAGGGAGGTGTGTGATAAAGGCAAGAAAGTGGGAGATGGAAAATGAACAGCAGAGACAGATGTGTACAGCAGGTTGGCAGAGCAAAAAAGATCTAAAAATAGTCAGAAGTGATTCTGTCTGCGATTGCGTTTAGTAACTGTGAAGACAAGATGACAAATGCACCAGCTTTCCATTTTTCCCTCCTTTAACTCTGTTCCCAGATGGTTTGGCCCAGCTGCTAAATGCAATATCTCTACTTTACAGATAACACTGTCTGTTAAGCAAGACTGTCATATTCACTATCACGCTGCCATGTCATGGTAAAGACAGGGGGTAGACGAGGGAGGACAAGTGCAGTTGCAAAATTTGTTCTAGGCAGTGATTACTGCAATCCTAACTGCTTCACAGCAACATACTACTCATTGCTTTCTTGAATTAAAGAGAATTAGGTACAGCTGTAACAGCAGCTGGTATGAGAGAGCTTCATTTTGTCACAATATCAAGTTCAAACATTAAAAGACTCAGAGGAAGTGTCATTCGTCCTAGATCTGGTGACATTTATCATTTCTACGCATCATAAACCCCTCAGGTCCTGTCTATTATTTTCACATTTTTATCTAACAGAACAGACAGTGATGCATTCAGTGAGAGCTCCAACAAGTAAGGCCACACTGATAAACATGGGACATAACAATACTATATCTCCCCATCACCAGGCTGGAGTGAAAGCCTGAAAGCCTTATAATAAATCAGAGAGACTGGTGCTATTGAACCACGTTAATTTTTTTTTAAATGTCATCAAAAAAAAAAAACATCAACAGTGCCCATGCGAAGGATGGTATTCTATACATATGCTCTTTAAAAGATTTTCTGCAAACTGTTTTATGACGATCCTGATGAAGGTCATGAGTCAACCCCCCCCCACACACACACACACACACTCAGCTTGTTGAAGGACACAATTTATATTCTGTTCTCTAGCCTGACATGTCACTTTGCTTTCCCAAAAATGGGGTTTTCAGAGTTGACCAGATGAATTGTGTGGTGAAGGATTCCACAATTCCCGCAGCACAGGTCACCCCTGACCTCAGCTAGCTAAGAATAGCAGCTACATGATGCATTCATACATACAGAGCTGCAGCACACCCGCTTCCTTCACAATTATCACCGAGCTGACTACATTCCACACACACACATATTGCACACATGCACTGTACACTCATTCAAAATTCTAAAAGCAATAAAAAAATCAAAATAAATTAACCAACTGAGCATGCACTTCAACTTGTGCTTTTCCCTATTTTCTCTCATATATACATATTGCTCAAAAAATTTACACGAACACTTTTTCATCAGAGAACAGCATCAAGTCCATTAAAATTCTGGGATTTTGATCTGATTGGTTAGGTATCGGGATGATGCCCTGGTCCAGATCTGGGTGGGCACCATCCATCATCTCAGAAGGCCAGAACAGCTCCAATATACAGTAAGATACATAAGCATTATATTTACCTGTCAATCATGCAAAGTTAATCTAGTAAAGTCCAAATTTTTAAATATGAAGCTGGAAATTAGCATAACAGAGCCACTTAAATCTAAGAAGACTTTTAATAAAATACCCTCATAGCAACATTTGCTTGCCTCTCCATCCTACTGGTTGGGGTTCTCTATGGCAGTATCACACTGGGGCCTACACATTCCAGAGAAATAACTGACGCAACAGTTAAATGAATAAGCAATCTCATGCTGAGTGTGCACGGTCATGCCGGGCTGTGCCAAGGTGCAAAAGCATCTGGACATCAGTGCCAGAGTATAAATTGTTGTTAACAAAATGCTGTGTCCGCATGTAGTGCTGGGAGCCCAAGGTAGACAGAACAGTGCTACACCCTCTTCATGACATATCTGAGTTATCTGAGCCACTGGTATTAATATTTTTCCCTGACATTATAAATACATTATTAGATTAGCATATATTTACTGCCTAAGTGATACTGCTTTAATTTGCAAACTAAGACAGATATATACATGATGCACAGAAGTATCTGTAAAAAGAAATACTGCAAAATCTTTTACAATGTAGGTCAAAAGGATGACAGATGGTGAAAGATATGACTGTGGCATTAATTATTCGGGGTCTGTGACGCAAATGTTTGGTGGTTACATTCGTACTTCCCCTCATGCTCTGCAGACAACTCAAAACTTCAGAAATAATCATATTTTTGAACATTTTAAAGACCAGACGTTTTTACCTGGTAGAGCATGACAGGCTCCATGCTGTAACCCAGCATCTCAGCAAACTCTCTGGCAATCACCGACTTGCCGCAACCCTAGAAATAAAAGAAGGTATTCGTTATTAAAATCAGATTCACTATGTGCATTGTATGTGTATATGTATATCAAGTGTTAGCCACCTTAGGTCCTATCAGACATATGTCCTTAACCATGTGCGACTGTATCATCTCGGCCAACAACTGGGAGTGGCTTGGTGTATGAATGTAGGTGGGACTGCTTTTGGGTGGACGTGGCTCCTTAACGCCTGCTGGAACCTGAAGTTTCATAAACAGGAGAAACAAGCATGAAGGAGGCAAACAACAGCAGCGGCATCTGGTGAAGCCTGACATTATACCCTGTGTGGGAAGAAAAAAAAAGTAAAAAAGAAAGTAAAAAATATGTTTAGCTCCCTTTATGGTTACTTTCTTATGACTGGCTGCCCCTCACAAACAAGTTTGCACAGCTGGTGTGCAGAGTTTTGTGCTTGCAGCCAGCACTGTGTGCATATTAAGGATGTTTCCCTTTATTAACTTGGTACAAAAACTAGAAAAAACACACATACCACTCCCTCAGTGGGTGAGAGTGGTATGTGTGTGATGGTTTATATCGATATTTTGGTTTTGCTGCCCCCAGACTTGGGTCATTCCACCGCGGTCATCCAGACATCACCTGGAGTGGCTCTGTGCCCCACGGATTAAGAACCACTGCCCTAAACAAACCCGTGATTCACAGATTCACGGCCGAACAGCTGGAAACAAAATTCATTATTTTTTAAGAACTCTGCGTTAAACAAGCAAAGAAAACCCACTACATATTAGGAGCCAACACAGTTCCTGCCACACATGAAGAAAGTGCAGCCTCAAAGAGTTAACCAGAGTGATATCATTTGTTTACCTGCAGGATCCACACCACTATTTTTAGTAGTCTGAAAGGATGTCTGTTTTTCCAAACACTATGCAGTAACATTCACACGCACTGCTGCTTTTTTATCTAACATGAAAAATTAATGACTGATAAACATGTTGCCTTAACAAAATTTACATTCAGCTACAGAGTGTCAGTGAGAGATAAGACGGTCAAGCTACTGATACAGTGTGTCTGCCTGTCTGTCCGTGTGTGGTCTGCGACGTGATAACTTTTATAATCTCTATAAAAGGATGACTTAATCACTCTGCATGTTTTTTGATTCATAATGAAGCCTAATGCTTGCACTCATTAGGATCGATTACACTATAGATTTGCTTTATGCATCGTTTTTATACATTAAATGCTTTTTATTGTTAATGTTTGAATGGACTAATGGAAATTTAATAGAGTGACTTTTATCTGAAAAATGCAGGATGGGTTTTCTGCTAAATCTAACCCTTCAATGCAACGCTTCAGTGACTCTCACATTGTCAAACGTGAGAAACGCTAGCTAACAGTTGCTTAGTAAATGAGCCTGCTAATCATAAATATCAATAATGACTAACTGTGACTATTGTAAACGACTCACGACTCCAGCTAGCACAGAAAAATTACACAGTATCTTAAGAAAAAAAACCTCAGTGAAATAAGTACATAAGGCTGGCTAATTTAAGACTGACACATAGTTGTAATGAATTTGGCCAAATTATAAGCCATATCAATGTTGTACGATTTGTGTTAGTCAGAGCTGGCTGGCTAACCGCGTAATATGTATGCTAACCTTGCCAGACAGTTAAATCTGCACAGCGTGCAAACTAGACTTTAGCTTAAATGTTTACTGCAAACGGTGACCAAAAAATAAAACCAACAAGGACGTATTTAAAACTGCTGTTCCTTTGATGACCACTTGAGGTCAGCTCCAAAGACACTAATCTCCACTGACTCACATATCAAAATGCTCAACTTTACAGCAGAAATACAGTATGTCTATGTCATGGTATTAAAAGAAATGGTATTTAAAAAAAGAAGATTGAAATTAGGGTGTTTTTTTCTTCACTCATTGTATTAAGGTCTAAAGGTTGGTCTTGATGCATACTCAATTTGGCCGTAGCGTTTTCAGTGGGAGAAACATTTCGTCACTCATCCAAGTGACTACTTCAGTCTCAGCTGACCACTGATCTTTGACCACTGATCTTTGGCGGAGTCATTTACATGAAACGGGAAAGACCATCTCTGAAATGAGGAGGGGGCCTAAGTGTACATCTTTTCCCATCTTACTTTGCCGTGATTGCAGCCATTCCCCAACTCTCTGTGAATGGTACTCATTGCCATCAATCAATGATCACTGATCAATGGTCTTTGATGAGTGGTCATGACAATTTGCAGATCAAGGAACTGACCTCACATTCCACTGTTCATTCAGTGGGCTAGATTTGTGCAAATGTGCTGTTTATAAAGTTGGGGAAACCTGCAGTCAGCTGAGACTGAAGAAGTCACTTGGATGATGACGCAGCGTTTCTCCCACTGAAAACGCTACATCCAGAATCAGTCTTTTGGGATCTAAAGGTTGGGTAATAATTGCGCTGTCCACAGAGGTTGCTTGACTTTATGTGTTCTGCTCGTCCCTCTGGAGCATCTTTGAAATGCTTATTTGAAGAAATACAACTTGATTTGTTTATGTTTAATTAGTGAATTAAATTATATCCTTCATTGATTTCTAACATCGTGATACTAATTGGTTATCTGTGTCTTTGCAATGATCCCAACTTGCAAACCAAGCTGGTTAGCTGATAAGCTACAGTCCAATAAACAAGAAGGCAACTACCACACCTCTAAATTCAAGGCTTCAAAATAAAAGTTCACAAAGCAGTGGGCGATGTCATGTCATATGTAGTCTATGGTGTACACCCAGACTGCTGGTACCTGAAAGGTGATGTCTTTGTCCACTACATGTAAAGTGATGTCTGCATGGCCTTCTACATCTTTTGCCGTGGACACACTCAAAATGGTGGTGGGTGCTGGCTGACGATGACCATCCAGAAGCTCAAATCGCTGTGAAAGAATGCATATAAAGCAAAACTGATGCCTTCAATCAACCATATGATGTTCAGGTTATATCAAGCATGCACCTGAGGTAAAACCATATACAGACACTTTAACATCACATCTTGACTTACACTGAGTACACCCTCAACAGCAGTGCGACCGTCCTTGCCCAACATACTGTTAAATGGATAAAGCCTATGGAGCAGTTGCTGGGAGGATAGCATTGGGAAAGAGTTCTGGAAAAGGACAGAAAAGTCACACAGGCGCTAGTAACTTTAAAACAAATTCTCCTTTAAATTTTTGGCTTTCATTTTTCTATCTCGCTCCTGTCTCACCAGGACATGAAGGACAGGAAGCAGGTTGTCCACAGGAAAGTCAGGAAGGCCTAGGCTGGATGATTCCTGGGAGCATAGCGTAGTAGCTAGTGAGAGCAGCTGGGAAACTCTGACACACAGGAAACAACACAATACTGCATGAAGACAGACCATCAAAGAATACTCGCACTTCAGTATGCATCTACCTAAATGTACCTTTCTGCAGCGACATTTGGTCCTGCTGAGTACAGCAACTCCAACTGGTCCTGAAAATATACAGAAGAAAACAAGACTTAAATATCCTCAAAGTCTCACAAATTTACTGCAGAACACTGTTGGCTGAGAGGCCAGAGAGAAAGAAAACAAAAGCTCAATACTTAAATTCCAGAACAAATCCAAAACTAATATATCCTCTAGTATTATCGCTAATTTTCTTCAGTATAATAACATTTCAGTATGTTGTACAAAGTGTGTTATGTTTATTATCAGAGTGCATAAAAGGAAAATTTGTATCGGTTCGTCTCTTTCTCCCCCACAGCCACACCTTTCTTATCTTATTGAAGCTTTCAGCTTGCAGATTACTTTCTTTTAAGTAATCCGTAAATTCGTGGATTGACCTTGAATGGTAGGTAATAGACGTCTCTAGCCTGGAAGCGAGAGCGGAGAGGAGGATCCAGCGGATTGCCTTTGTACTTGGGTACAGGAAGACCAAGCGCGATGACCCGAAAGTCCTCGCTTACGCGGACAATCTTCCAGCTGTCCAGCTCTTCTTTGGTGTGCTCCTGAAATGCATCAAGGTAAGAAATGGCCTATAACTTTCTTTCATCTCACACATTTGATATTAAATGCTATTTTTATCCAAAAGGCTGCAGCTCCAAAGCTCCATGTGACAAGTACAGACTCTGAATGTCGCACAGCAGCAGGATTTATAGCAACAGCATTTTTTCCCTCAAAACACAACAAGAGCACTGTGGAAATTCACTGCTTAAGTGGGAATTTACATATAGACATGACTCCATAAACAACAGCCAGCATTATAAAAAATAATAACAGCGCCCCCTGAGGCTCCCAGTAGATGAACCTGTGCTAGAAATGTGAAAATCCGAGGTAATATCCTTCCTGAGTTATCGCATTTTCACCTTGACCTGGAAGTTAAGATGACCAATATTTGAACGTGTCTGACATTTTTAGTGAATGCACCTAAGTGTCAATTTGAAAATCTTATGTCGCCTTGATCTTGAATTATCATGTTCACAAACTTGGGTGCCCACACTGCCCAGGGATTCGTCCTGCGTGGCAACAATAGCCCATCAAACTTTTACAACTGAGGGGTTAAAATAAAGTTAATGCCTCAGCTGTTGATACCTAAAAAGATTAGTCCCATGTGTAAGTTCTAGTTTAGAAATTAGCCGTGGGAAGTGTTTGACTTGTGCAGGCGAGTGTGCTGCTCTGACCTGCAGCAGCTTGTCATAACGCTCCGCTGACATGAGGAAGCGGCCATCCTCCAGCTGCATCTCTCGATTCTCCAGCAGGTTGTTAAGAACAGGCAGGACGTTCCTCTCGGCTTTCTCCAGCCCCTCCAGGACCAGGACGCGGCCTCTTATTGCGGCCCTTACAGCACACTAGGAAAAAGCATTAAAAGTCAAGACAAAGCGATGAAGTCAATCAATACTTCAGAAATAATAGGAGAGGAAGGGGAAGGATGTTGTAAACTCTTTCGACATATGATGAGTTTTGCCTCAGGTCAAATCTGTTGCTCCACTGTACAGGATGACCTCTGATCTCTGGGCTAAAAGCTTTTGTACAGACAGGGAATCTGACCTTCCACCAGTCCTCATTGTGCATACTTTATATAAGACAGTATAAGCTTCCGATAAAGATTTTCCTGAGGTTGTCCTCATCTGTGTTTGTCCTCCAAGCTACTCAGAAACTTTCAAACCAGTCTCTGCTGTTTTAAGAAGCTCTATTTTCTCCCACCAAATGTGGGATAAAACATCTCAAGTTTATACAGTGTGTGTGCAAATGCATGTGTCTGCGCACATTTCTGCAGAAATCAAAAAGCACGTCTGACGTCAAGAGGCAGGAAACTTTAGCTGTCTGGGTGGACCGCAGAGCGAGCGGCTATGTAATTAGGTTAACATGTAAATGCGTGGCAGGTTGTGTGGGAAGCAGAGCCATAAAACTATAGTGAGGACCAGATGCTCTATATTTAACTCTTGATCCATTTTCGGCACCAACGCTGTAATCAGATAATTGTTAGAAATGTAAATGACGCAGGATGTAGAGTAGGAGAGAGAGAAAGAGAGAGGCAGGGAAGCACAGAGGGGCCTTGTGCTATGTCTGACACCAGCCATGCAAAGAAAAGAAAACATCCCACCAAATGCTTTTAGCCACTTAGAAATGTCACAGAACAGTGAATGTGTAATATTAATGTAACTAGAACTATTTTAAAAAAAGAGTTAAAAGTCTACAGAGACATCACTTCCTATAACATCTCTTTGTGTTATATGTGATGTTTCATTTTTTTTCATAATGCTATGTGTATGAATCAAAAAGCTTCTGTTCCTAATTTACCTACTTCATGCGCATACAGAAGCATGTTTTCCCCAAAGTGTTTGCAGGTCACAACATAGACTGTATACAAACGCTAGATGCAGCATCAGGTACGTCCAAGTTCATTAAACCTGCATTCTTTGAAATGACCAGTAAAGGGCAACTACCTAGTGGCAATTTCTCTAGTGATTTATGACCTCAGTAAGTATTTTCCTAATAGATTTATTGTCAGTAGTTTCCAGTCTTAATGAATGCAATATGATGTTCATAGTACGCTGTATTTTGAATAAGAAAAGACTACAAAGAAGGGAATCCTTCAGAGCTTGTGACTGAAAAGTCGCTACTACACAAGTGTGCAGTCTGCTCATTTTCTCAGACAGGTCTACCTATGCCCATCATGTCACATCAGTTTAAAAAAACAATAAAACAAACCAGAATGGCGATGGCAAACACAAACTCTTAAGTTGAGACTTTCAAAACAAGAGTCCACAAACCAAAACGGGTCAAGACTCCAGTTAACAAGGGTCCAAAACCATTTTAAGCTTTAATGGTAGGTTGAGAACCTAAAAAAGAACAAATTTAACACAACTCAAGCTGAAAATAAATTTGAATGATTTTTTAATAAATGGCCTAGCATGATATAAAAAAAAGTTTTAAAAAATCAACCCTAGATAATATTTTTAATGTCACATAATATCCAATAAAATAATTTTAAATGTCCCACAAACCAGATTTTTAGAGTCTGATGTCTTCAGGCTCTGCTCTTGTCCCAGAACCTTTCAAATTAAATCAATTAGACTGCTTGAGTCCTGAACAAAAAGGTTTTCCATTATTTCCGGATTTTTGGCTTCTAATTTGACAACAAACCTCTATTTACTCTGTGGTAATTCAGCCACAGCAGTGAGTTTTGTTTCCCCCATGGGGCCAGCCCTTTAACTTTAACTAGTGGAAATAAGAGAATCCAGTTTTCTTGTGGATACCTTTGAATTATATTTATATTTAATTATAACTACATGTGATATTTAATTGCAATTTTTTTTGTTTTTGTTTAATTTTTTGTGTTGGAAAAATTTTTGTACTTTAAAAAGACTTTTCCAACATGTAACTCTGCCTAGAAAGTGTAGAAAGTGCATCCTGTCAAAAGGTTTCAGCACAGCTGTACGTTTGGGTTCAGATTCAGCTCCAGTGGAGGTGGAAGGCTTTTTATTACTGTAATAGAGACTTATTTGTAGACTGGGTTTGAGGTAAGCTGCCTTACATAAGAGCCAGCTAAATGAAGAAGGGTGACTGGGAAATGTCAAAAATATAACAAGCATGCGATTACATCCATGTGACTCCTTCATGCATACTTTGAGGGTAGGGTGATGCTTGGAATGAAGGAGGAAGGGTGAAAAAAAGAAAAAAAAAGAAAAAAGACCAAGAACCAGAGATAGAAAATGAAGTGGAAGGATGGGAGGGGAGGGACAGCTTAAGCTCAGGGACTGACACGTTAAGCCTGAATATAGGGCTCCAAATCAGCACAGACCCCTGAGGAATACTTGGATGTTCTAGTTAACACACAAATGCACACCTCCTACAAAACTATTCTCAAAGAGAAAAGCTCTCTAATTTGCACCCACACATCTCCAGTCCATAAAACAAATGTTGGAAAATATAATATGTACACAGTGTTATTGCACCAGACACATGGCACAGGACTCATAATCCACAACATCCCAACAACATAAAACCTTTCCACTGGACGTTTGAATGTAGGAAAGCCCACAAATAAGCAATCTTTCACCCCATTTATTAACATCAATAATGCTGTTTCTATGGAAACAATGGACAATGTTTTGATTTAGATAAAGAGGTGGGAGGAAGATGAGCCTCAGGCAGAGGGAGTTGGATGAGTTGGCTAGCTTTTCTTGTTCCAGGGAAAGATGTGCACTGATAGAAACAAAACTATTAAAGTCATTAAGGGATGAAGACTGTTTAATCAAACAACTTGATCATGCATATTTTTCACAAATGGTTATTCCCAGTTTCAGTTTGTGTCTATGGTTAAATGATTTTCCATGAAAACTCTCAAAACTGATTTTTTTGTTCTCCTAATGTTCTAACAGAGCAGATGATCCGACTATACAATGCTACCTTACTTAAGTTACGGGGAAGTGTTGCAGCCCTAATCCAGGGTTTGAGTCCATGTTTGGTTTATCACCGAACCAGTGATACAAGTGAATATGCAGATATTCATAAAACAGTTACAGCATTTTCAACAACTCTGTTGGAGCTTTGATGGACTGGCGACCTGTCCAACAGCCTTTTGTGCTACGGATTGGTAGCCACTAAAATATAGCAGTTTCCTTTATGAACTTGACCATTTATCTACATTACATGCACATCTATGATTCAGAATCACCAGTTAACCTAACATTCATGTCTTTGGACTGTGGGAGAGGGCTAGAGCACCCAGAGGAAACCCAAGTAGGCACAGGGAGAACGTGCAAACTCCACACAGAAAAGCTCAGCCAGCCGCTGGGTTTGAACCAGGAAACCTCTTGCTATGAGTACTAGTTACTTCATAGCAAACCTAGGAAAATAGGTGGATAGACATATGGATAACAGTTAAAAATTTCAGCATGACTTCAGCATCCCTTCCATATCCAGTCATATAAAAGGACCAATGCTGGAAGAAAATTCCCTCAACATCACAAAATGCTGTTAATTTCAACTAATGAAGAGTGTGTGTTGGGACTACTTCCTATTTCAGTACATTGTGTTGACAATTATAAAATGTGAAATATAAACTTAAATTGAACATATTAATAAAGTACCTAGTATCTCAAATACAATCATTTGCCCCAGTTGTTATATGTAATTTAGGCATTTTGTCGTGGTAAACAAACCCAGGTTGTATGATTTACAACGGCTGTTGAAACTGATTCTACTCTCATCAGAGAGTACAAAGCTCTGAATTCATGAGTTATTTTTCAAAGGCGTCTGGATTCTATTAATGCTAAAGCTTGGGGAAGGGGAATCATAGCTGCACTGGTAAAATATGGAGGAGTGCACTGATGCATGCTATTTCTAGAACTGCCCAATAAACAGTTAAGCTGTATTAGCCTGAGGTCATGCTAATAATAGCATAGTCAACCTGGTACCTTCTACATTAAGGTGCCCACAACGGCCCGGTGTCGAGGCCAGCCAAACATCTTTATTGTAGGTCACACCTGTTTTAATCTCTTAATTTCCTGTCATCTCTCTACTGACAGACTCAAATAAAAGCTTAGTTCATGCAGAAGACGCTACTGATAACAGTCAATATTGCTTCTAGTGTTTGTTTAGTGTGGCACACCAAAGCACCTTTTCCCTCTTAAATTTGCTTACAGTTGTGTGTGACATCTAAAAATAGTCTATTCCTCTTATCTGGACTACATTGTACGCATGAATGTTGGATTGCTTTGGTTATGAAAAATAAAAAACAAGTCTGGTTTTATAGAAGTCATGTTATGGGATAACAGCTCTTTTTTCCCCCACAGTCTACACCCTGAGTAAATCCTTTACTGATAAGTTTGGTCTCTGTCACCAGTTTCAAGTCACTGATTATAATATGACTTTCATTGTCTAAACCATGGTCCAGGGATATACATACACACACATATAACAATTGTTGTAATCCTATATAATTTTGAAATTTTTTTCCACAGGTAGTTCACAGAGCTGAGGTCATAAATCACTAGAGTGTACAGAGCCGTTTATACTTCATTCACATTGAGACCTTCTGGTAAAATATCTTTTTAAATTTCTGCTCTGTAAGTATCCCTTAACTGGATGCCCCATTCTCTAATTATTTTTTTCTTGTAAGTTGATCAAATGTCTTAAAACATTTTCCCTCTATGAGTGGAGTGGTCTGAAAGAGCCATAGGCAAACATTTTATAATGAAATTGCATTGTGTCACATAGATGGAACCCTGCCATTCAATTTAGTAAAAGGAGTCACAAGCATCAAAATGATAAACTTAACAAAATCTGCAGGAGGTGAACAAAACTACCACGTCAGCAGTGTGAAGGCACTAATGGCTGATTTGTGCTGGAACACAAACAAGCTGCCTCGCTTTATCAAACCATAAAACTGCTCAGTACACTGCTCATGTGTAGGAAATGCTGCTTCTTTGATGTGTTTACTCCTGATGCATTAACAAGGAACTCAATGCATATACACATTCATAAAACCACTTTCTCAGAGCACTAAGAGCAGTGAAGACAGTGGAGTAGCACTACAGTAAGTGGACTCCCTTCCAGCTGCAGTCTAATTATAAGAAAGCCTAATTAGCTGCAAGTCTGTTCCAGGAGAGCAGCTTTCTGAGTAAAGTTTAAGGAATAAGTGTGCTGAAAATAAAACGTGAAAAACTTCCCCGTTTCCATGGAGCTGATGTCTGAACTGTTACACAACTGATTTATTTTTTACGCAGATGAAGCCATGTGCTAATTAGTCGTGGATAATGACATGACTGACTAAATGTTAATTATCACAGCTTATTATCAGTTGTGACTCTTTGAAGCCCAATGCCACAGTTTAATGATCAGCCTAATCTGGATGTAACAGTGCGGCCCTTAGCGGCTGGAAACACAGTGAGATGGACCAAGGCAAGTGTAGTGGAACAAAGTATTTATTTGCTATACAGCTCTCCTTACAACAATTAACTTGTCGAGCTTCTTCACAGCACAAAAATTCATCCTCTAATGAGGACTGGCAGCCTTAAATATGTTCAGCTGTCACAGACCATTATTCCACTCTCAGGTAAATTCTTAAATCCCAACCTTCCACCACAGTATACAATATATCAATAAGAATAAATAAATACATTTTCACATTTACATATTAATAAATATTTAACACTTAATGTTACACCAAACCCAATATTATAAAAACCCAGAAACCCAAGCACAACAAGATTCACCACACTCTCTTTACCAATGGTCTCTCCCGGAACCTTTAAATGGTGTCTGGACCTCCTGGGAAACATTTGCCCAAACACCTTGAAGAGGACACAGGCAAGAAAGGTGAGTAATCATTATCTTACAAACACCTATTTGCACCACTTTTATCCCTAGATTTCACACACACACTTGCATTAGTTTTCCTTACTGGTAAACCTTGATCACAATCACCATTCTTCTCTCCTGACAGACAACCACCACATTCCTTGATGAGGAGCAGCTGTGCCGGATCTGAAATAAGGCTACCAACTGATTTTAGAATTCCCAATAAATAGTCAATAAATATTTAAACTTCTTGTGTGCAAATCCATGCTTAAAGTGCAATGCTAAATAAAGTGCTTGATAAGGTGCTTTTAATAAAGTGAAAGGTGTGCTCTAAAGTGCTATACAGATAACATAATATAAATAAATGCAGTAAGGGAGTCCTCTTCCTTACACTGGACTTAGCTTTTCTTCCCATTTCATAATTCGTTTTTCTGTAGCTGTGAGACAATAAATGGAGATGGATGGAAAACACAAAGTTCTCCTTAGAGAAACTGGCCTGGATAATGAGGAACTGCTGGTTTCTATGGTTACTCAACTTACAGAGTCCACACAGAATGGAGGCATATGTTTGCCGAAAGCCTCGATCGATCAAAAAGGAGCATGGAAAGCAAGAGAATGAAATTTGGAAGAGTGCAAAACTGTGGTGAAGCAACATTTTGTGTTACTATGTTTCATGCGAGGACAAGGCGCACTCAGTTAATGTTCTACTCACACTCCAAGCTGTGTTTGCCTTCAACTGTGGTTTTAATGGTTCTGTTGTATTACACAAACACATAGCCAGAAACTCATGACTGTACATTTTTATTATTGTAATTAATGCAGAAAAAGCAATCCCAAATCTTTCAGTTGTATTTAGCACACAGGCCATGCACCTAGCATACATCCAGGCACGTGCAGAGGGGGGGGGGCTAGAGGGGCTTGAGCACCCGCCCCTTTCCTGATGGGTGCCCAAAGTGCCATTTGGGCACCCACACATTAAAGAAAATTTTTTTTCTTTAATGTGTGTGTGCGTGCGGAGTCCTGTCTGTGCCCCTAAACAATATTTAACTATTAATCACAGTTTTGCTAAATAAAAGGATCTGGCTTGCATCAGTCACATGATCACATTTAACCAATGATCGCCCTTGACGGCAGAACGCGCTGGTTACGAGCCGGGAACGAGCTCACAAAGAGCACGCGCATTTTTTGCGGTCCGGAGCTGTAGGAGAAACACAAGTTAACTCAGAGACACAGACTGATGCGACAAAATCATTTAGTAGGTGTACAGCGCACACTGTAGTGTGTAGCACCCAGGAGTATTAGCTTATTACGTACACGTTGGTAAGCTGTCTTGTTGCAACTGACGAACTGAAACAAACGAGCGTGCTGTGTGTGCAACAGCGCGACAAACATTACCTGTCCTTTTATTAACTGCACAAGTAGTGCTGGTCACAGCTGCTGGCTACCTGTGTAAGGCTGTCATGGGTCTGTAGCTCTGTCACCGTTTTAGGGAACATATTTAGTTTTAAAGTATTTAGAAACATATTTAGTTTTAAAGTAAGTTTCTGGGCTTTTCCTGCCTTTCTGGAGGGATTATATTTCACTAAAAAACGATCTATATGCATGTCCACATAATTATGCATTATTATAATTATAATATATTAAAAAACACACGCTGTATTTTAAAGAACATACATTAAGAAGCAGATTATATTAGATTTATATTTTAAATAAGACAAAATTTGGATTTTACAGCAGTAAAATGATTGTATCTCTACAGTTTAAACATGTAATAAGCTTTCTCCCTGCACAGAGTGGATAGTGAAACAAATGGAATCATCATAATGACATTATTTCATATTTATTACTTCCCCCTACTCATTGCTTTATTATTGTAGCTCTAGTAATAAATAATAATGTAAGGATTCTGGATCAGCACAGTGATGCCCATAGTATATACAGTATTCTGAAGAAGGTCTAAAATGTCACTGTGTGTGCGTGCATGTGTGTGTTTTATTTAGAGGGATTTAAAAAAAAATATTACTCATGATATAACATTGTCCAGACGTGCCTGGTAAGGACATGAGGAGGAAACAGCAGGAGCTGTGTGAGGCTACTAAAGGCAGTGCTATAACATTTTTCTGTCATCATTTTATTATAGATTAAGTGCAAGAGTTGTTAGGTGTGGATAATTAGATTATAGTTTATTGCAATAGCAAGTTGTGCCTTGTTCTCAGATAGACAGCAAGTGGAGAGTGATATATGAAATGATGGGATGGAAGAAGAGAAGCAAAGAGTGAATCACAGTCTAGTTTATTTCTCAGTTTTTTGTTGCCTTATGGTTCCAAGCGCTGTCACCAATCTTTGCATTTTGTTATTATCTCATGACACTTGTTTAATCAGCTACCATCTCTCCTGTGGACTTTTTACTGTCTACAGTCTCAGATCAACACAGCCCTGCCCTCCAGCACTATCCACAGCAACCCCTCAACAGCAACATTGTACCATCAGGTAAAGCATCGGCTACGTTTGCTTTGCCTTGTTGCCCATATTAGATTCTTGATGAATGTGTGTTGTTGTTATTCAGCCTGGTTCAATGTGCCCCTTTTTAACTTTGAGCACCCGTCCCTTTAAACCTCTCTGCACGGCCCTGCATACATCCAGCTGTTGTGGCAATTGATTTGGCTTTGTGATGCATAATGCACAACTAAAATAAAACAATATTTCAGAAAACACAATATTATACTTTACAGCTTTCATCAAAAATAATTCAAATGTCGATGTAAAGTGGATTTATGTCGAAGCCTGCATATTAGACTGTGTACAATCCATTAAATAAGCTTACCTGGTCTATGTAGAAGGCCGTCCCCGATCGAATCTCTCTCCTCTGTTTCAGGTCGGTCTCTGTGGTGTCCCTGGACAAAGCGACATACTCCACTTCCCGTTTAGTCAACTCCTAGTCAAGAGCAAGAGAACAAGTTTGGCTTGTTAAAAGTTAAAAGCATATTCTCTGGCTTATCTGATGCCAAATAATATGATAGAATTGTAAAAATAAATCAAATTACTATGCGTATCCTGCAAAGACACTCCTAGTCCATCGTTTATTAGAACAAACCTGGTAGAGCACAATTTACTCTTTACTTTGGTGCCGAATTTGTATAAAAGTTTCCATCGCACTATTAGAATGATACAACTTTATATTTATCTTATTAAAGCTATGCAATGTTTTAAAACTGCATTTACATTTCACTACTTTTGACTGTATGAACTTCTGCACTTTCTGAATTTTGCCACTTTGACAAATAATCGTTCTAAGGATGCTGCACTAGAATAAGACCTGTGTGGGAGTTACTGTGAGCCATGTACACATTTCCACAAAGGTCAGTGAATTTACTTTAGGCAAGCCACACGGTCAAGCTCAGCCACGATCCCTGAAAATCAGCAAGTGCTTAGTTACTCCACATCTGCAAGTCGCTTTGCAACCACAGCCAAAACTATGGCATCTACAATACTGAACCGCAGTTCCATCTTCCATATCACGGTAATGTTTAATGATTGTTTAGCAACAAGTGAGCAGGAAAAACATCAGAATAATGGAGTTTTTAATTTTTGTTCATGGTTCAGTCCTAATCACATGATGATCAAAACTGTGGTTTAAAGAAAAAAAAGAAAAAGATACTCCTCTTTTATATTGAGTGTTTCAGTGTGTAACATGGAGGACTCACAAGGTACTGCATAGCTATGGATCTTCTCAGGGGTCCTGGGGGGCCAATGAGGAACACATCCTGACCCAAAAGGTCTTTCTGCATAATCCATCGGAGGTGTTGAGCCACCGTCTGAGGTAGGGAGTCTGAAACTGGCCAAAAAAAAAAACAAAAAGGAAACGTTTTATGCTGACATACCTATAGGCTTTGTTGTGACATACACACACAGAAGATTACCTACTGTGTTTCACAGGAACAAGCTCTGGATTCTGGGGTGGCTTGAGTTTGTAAGTGATCTCACCAATCTTCACTGTGTCACCTGTAAAGGAAAAGGATGATCAATGCATGCAAGATGGTTTTTGACAGACAAGTCAAGTCATAATCACAACAGTAGAGTTGATTTTATATTCACATTAGTGTTAGTCTTTGATGAAGGTACAATAAAAAATAAAGATATAAAAAAAAAAACACTTCTCAAACAGTTTGGGTTTAACAATATGGTTTTATTAGATTTGCAAATCACTGCATTCTGTTTTTATTCAAATTTTACAGTGTCACAATCTTTTTGGAAACGGTTCACTTACTTAACTTTTGACTTGCATAAGTTTCAAGTATATAAAAGGCAGCTGACTCAGGGGTATGAATCAGTGTTGTGCATTGTGTTGTCCCCCTCCCCCTGGCAAGACTGTCCTATGTTGGTAATAATGTAGTAAGGTTCCAGAAAACCTGGTGCGAATCCCTGGACAGATCTGTGGTGCATCTCAGGGTGAACATAGAGACAGGCAACAGTTCACACTCTTGCATGATCTAATAATTATTTGTCTTTCCTGAAGTTTGCTCTCAAACTTAAGATTTACTCTCCCAGAATGGAATTAAGCTGCTTCTGCTCAGCTCTGCTGAGAATCAATAAAGCAATGGTCGGGACTTCCAGTCAATCAATCAATAAATAAATTAAAACATGATTATAGAAATCAAAATCTTATTTGGTTTTCATATATCCTATTTTCAGTGATATTAACTTTAATAGCAGAAAATTAACTAGGCATATTTTTTCTCTCTTTTTTCCCATATTTTTCAAGTATCCTTCGTGAAGCCTGGAGAACTATTCCTGAAGACTATTTAAAGAATTTACATGAAAGTTGCCCAAGAGAGTTATGGCTAATGAATGAAGGTGATCATACACACTTTGGTTTTGCCTTAAATACTGTCTGTATAATTTCCTTTCCCATTTTCCTATCAAATTTCTAAAGAAATGAGCGGCAGCCCAGGACTTTTGCACAGCACTGTAAATATAAAATTGAGTTATTTGTATTAACTATTACAAAAGGTTGATATTAAGATGCAAGTTTCAGCTTCAGGTTTAATTAGCATACATCGTTAACTAAGATTTTGATGTAAATCAGGTTTTAAAAGGTGTCCGGGAAAAAAACAATACATTTAAAATTGTGTTTGGAACTAAATGTGACAGAAATATTGCCGTTATTTCAGCATGCTCCAGTTTAAAGAGCAACACGTGTGTTATACGTGGCTAAGTACCATGTTCCAACCTTTCACCTAGTGCAAGGTAAATGCATCGACTGTCTCACTAGATCACTTCTCACTTCAGATGCTGAGCTTACACCGTTTTCCTCTACATGGAACAAACTATATATTCAACAGTATTTTTGCTACCAAGGAGCCACCGCAGTGTGATTCCTGCCCCATTAGACAACAGCTATTTATTTAGCCAGTTAGCTGTCACCAGACACATGTGTTCCTATTTCCAGCTGAAAACAAACTGAAAACACCTGTTCACTGGCTGTATACGTGGCATTACAACTTAAATGAAACAATGAAATGAAACAATGAAATGAAACAAGTGAAATGGCATTACAACTTTAAGGCCGGTTACCTGAGGCTGTGTTCAGAAGTTTGACCTCATGAGTTCTGAACATCCAGCCGTCTCTTCCCAGGACACAACCCAAAATATACCGCACCCTTCTTGCAGCAACAGCCGCAGCTGTGCCGCCACATAAAATTTGGGAGTGCATGTTCAAAATGTCTACTTTATCATACAAAACCTAACAATGAAAAAAATTAGCAGGCTGTCTTTTAAAACGGTCTGACCCGCGGCCTTATTCCCATTTCACAACTAGCGTCAGCTCATTTTTTCGGAGTCGGAAATAAATAACAGAAGGACCAAATGGTCCGACAAACAAGTCTTCCGTGGGAATACCATTTTAGTTGAAAAGTGTTCCGTTCGCGCCGATAATTTTTGCAATATTACTAAGATTCTGTTGTTAAAAAAAAACATAGTTTTGTTTAGTAATATTTTAGGTTATTCATTTGGCACGTGGTTGTTGCAACTGGCTTTGGCTAATAAAGAAGGCTACAAATATTGTTTATTGAAAATAACATTTTTTTGTCTTTTGGAATATGTTATGCCCAAATAACTCTTTACAATATATTCTAATTTTAGTGGCTTTATTAATCTGAATCTATTCATTTATTTGCTGATTCTGCTGTCCCCTCTTCAAATAAAATCCATTCTTGGATTCAAGTTTTTAAAGTAGAAGTGGACATAACAAATAAACACATGCTGAACCATCTAACAAGGTAAATACCAATTTAACATTGGTGATGTTAAGTGGTAAATCCTGCATGATTAACCATGCAACTCCTCCAATTCTCTAAACGTAAATTTTAAGAAATCGCTGCTAAAAATTATAGAAAGTTCTGGAAGTTCATTGTCGAGATTATCCCGTAGTTATAACCATTTTTGTTAACTCACAGAAATGTCCTTTTTTTAATTTATTTATTTTACTGTGAATGCATTGTATTAAAAAAAAATAAAACAACATTAAAGTAGATAGTGAAAAAACAGGAACTTTTCTCTCATTTAATTATTTTTTTTCTCTTTCTTCATCACTGTGCTGTAGTATGAATGGCTTGGGGAAGATCTTTATCAGGAGGACAAACTTTAAAATGTACCAAAATACAGTTGAAAGTACTAAATTTATCCCCTCCTTCACATTTTCCATAGACTACAAATGGGACGGATTGGAGTCTTTGCTGTCCAATTCTGGCCCCCTGGGCCTTATGTTTGAAAGCCTAGAATTA